CCAGTCCCTAAGTCAAGAACCCGCCGCACACTTTGAGGCACTGGGGCTAGGTAAAGGGCGCCATCCAAAAGCGTTCGGTATATGTGGTGGTTCAAATCCATGCGATCTGTTCTTGCTCGTCGTTTGGCTACAGAAAGGTGCGTGTCATTAACTAGATGAAAGGTTTACGATATTGGCTGAAAGATTTTCAACTAGAACATATTTACTAGAATATATTCTCCTTCTTTAAACGCATGGTATCTTCTCCCATTCTAAAGCGTCATGTCGAAGGGACGCGAGGTTAGTAGACATTCAGCTTAGATGTTTAGAATTATTGGCAAAGGCTGATTACAAAGAACTGGTTTGAACGATGAGATAACAATGTCGTTGACATCGGGCAGAGACTTCTGCAAAAACTCGGACGTGTTCTGGAGAATTCATGCCTCAAGGTTTACTAGAGGGCACCAACCTCATATCTAATATATTGGTTCAGTACGGAGTATAGTATGAAGGGTTATTATAATATATTGACCACGTACGTGTAGTTCATAATACTGGACGTAACTGACGCGATGTAGCTGGCATCGCCAAGTCTTTTGAGAGGTAAAGTTAGCACTGCGTACGGAGTACAGTACAACCTCCAACATGATCGTAGTTTCATGACACTCACGAGCCTTCATAGGCAGAGTCAGAATCTGATACACTTTCCTAAAGAGAGACCGGAAAACAACCAATTTAATGAGGTTTTATTTATTTATGTATTTTTGGTGATGATTGGGGGCCCATTTACCTCCGCTTCAATCATACGCGTGTCGATAATTGGGTGATTGGCTGCCGTAGTGAGTTGAAAAACACCTTGTGGATTAAGGACTAGATATGACCTGTGTCGCAGAAAGGGCAATTTGACAAAAAGTCACAAACGAAAAAACTGGGCAGCGGCTTAGGCTGTGGCATTTATTTCGTTCCAGAATTTGATCCTGGTGCCCTGTTTTGTTCAACGACTCTCCGTTTTATTGCTTTTTCCTTTCCTTTCCTTTCTTTTTTTTTTCTTTTTTCTTTTTTTTTTTTTTTTGTTGCCTGTTTGAGTGGCTTATCGCCCCATGTCCTCATTGGTGTGAGGATGTAATACGCAGTGATGTCCCATACGTAATTTGCTGACTTGATGGTCGCGGTTATTCGGGCCTGGTTTCCTCATGCTGGAAATCAGCCTGTTGCAGAAGAATTGGCGCGGCATGCATGATGCAGCCGGCAAAGACAGGCCCAGGGAAGCGAAGGATGGATGGACACCAGGAAGCGGGGTACTTGCGTTTTGTTCCCTTCTGATCGCCTGGAAACTGCTTCCAAATCTCGTCTCTCAGGAGAGTAGTTAGTGTAAGCAAAGATATAAAGCAGTTCCATCTCCGCAGAGCACCATATAGATAAGTGATCATCGGAGCCAGAACCATCACGAAATCATTGTTAACTACCATTGTTACCTGGTGGTTAGAATGCCTTAAGGGAAAGCTTGCTTGGGCTGAAGCGAGCTGTCACAATTCCCGCAGAAAGAAGACGTTGCACGGAGCTATGGACGGGTTTGCATGAGTGCACTGCGCAGATGATCACTATCGA